CACAGTGAGTTTGAGACCAGATGGAACTACAGAGGGAGCCCTGTCTCAAAAAACAATAAAAACAAAAAACAAAATCAAAAAGTAAATTACTTATAAATACAACATGGGTTAGTAAAAAGTGGCATTATATTATGCAGAAAATTCAAAACCACAAGGTGGCCTTCATGAAAGACTACTTTCATGGCCCAATAAATCTCAAGCCAGAAATTCTGTTTCAAGTGGTCTCAGACCAATACTACTGGCCTAGTAGTCAGGTAGGCAAACTGTAGTGAAGAACCAGATCATAGACACCTGGGGTTCTGTGAACCCTGTGGTCCTTATGGCAACTGCACGACTTGGTTGTTGCAGGTGAAGCACAGATACAGACAACGCGTAAACAAATGAGCGTAGCCGTCTTCTAATAAAATGTAATTGACACAAAGAGGCAAAGTGTAAGACTAGGCTGTGAGCTGTAGTTTGCTAGTCCCTATTCTGGAGGGTTAAGAGATGATGAAATCCCACAAATGATGACAGGTCTGTGACAGAATGTTGGGGGGAAACACTTGAAAGGAGGAAAGGTCTATTTTGGCTCACGGTTTCTGAGGTTTCACTTCATGGTCACTGGGCATTGTAGCTTCCGGCACACAGTGAGGCAGAAGTGCTGTGTGAGACGGAGATGACAGAGAAAAGTCACTCATCTCACGGTGGCCAGGAAGCAGGGAGAGAAGCAAAGGGCCAGAGAGGATGGAGTCAAAGGCATGCCCCTAGTGACCTATTTCCAACAACTGTATCCCCCCTCCTAACCCATGCCGCTATCAACACGATAGATCAAAGCCACAGTATACAAATGGAGGGGGAGAGGTTGGAGTTCAACTTTCAGGACTCCTGCATTATTCAAGAGCTAGGAAAAATTTCAACTTTAGAATTTGGTAAGCATCCAACTTGAAGTTTGTAAGGTAACACAGAACAAATAAAAATAAGACCAATAAGACAGGCATGGTGGTGCAATCCTGTAATCCCAGCACTTGGGAGGCTGGGGCAGGAGGATTGTTACAAGTTTGAGGCCAGCCTGGGCTACAAAGAGAGATCAAGGCAAGCCTGAACTTCATAGCAAGACCCTGTCTCAGAAAAGGAAAAAAAGGTCCGGGGATATAGCTCAGCGGAATAAGCCCTTGCCTGGCAAGCCTCAGTTCATGAGTTCCATTCCTGGTACAAAAAAAAAAAAAAAAGAAAAGAAAAAGACCAATAATCCCCAATTTATGTAGAGAAAATAAATGGAAGAAGTAATAATTTCAAAAAAGAACAAGAGGAGAAAAAGATGGACAAGAAGGGACAAATAAGATGGCAAAAATAAATCCAAGTATGTTGTCACACTAGACATGAATGTTGTTCTCACATGCTGCTTGTGGGTTGTATAAAATGGTACAACCTTTTGGTAAAGATTGGCAGTTTTTGCCCTAAACCTGAATATTCTGGTATGTTATCATGCAGCAACCCTAATCCCTACTAAATGACAAACTAGACAAACTCCTGGGCAAGTCCATCAGGAGACACATCGAAGGACTCTTAACACCAAAGCTAGAAATAGCCCACACATTCATCAAGTGGAACTGGAACAAGAAACTGATTTTTTTTTTTTTTTTTTTGAGACAGGGTCTCACTCTGTAATTTAGGCTGGACTTAAACTCACTATGTAGCCTAGGCTGGCCTCAAACTCATGGCAAGCCTCCTGCCTCAGCCTCCCGAGTGCTGGGATTACAGACATGTGTGATCACACCCACTAAGAAATTCATTTCTCAGATCTTCTACCATACAGTCATGTTCTACTTCTTAGTCTGGGTAGTGAGCCTACTGGGATTTGTTCTTGCCATTGTTCTTGACATGTTCCTGCATACATTCATGTACATATTTGTATTTTGTCTCGTAATAAATATTAAGACAAGGGGAACTGGACAATTGCAAAAGGCTGCAAAAACAGTGATAAGAGACCATTACAGGATGTCTTACGACACTTTATCTGATGACTTTCGACATTACTACAAATAATACCTAATACTACTGTAATCCACTGGGTGCAAACGTTAAAAAGCAAGCAGGCACACTTTTTGTCAAGAGCTGTATTAGGGACCCCAATCTCTGGTACCAATCCAGACCCAGCCTTTCCCGCCTCCCCTCACACCCTGCTCAGCCCAATCGGGAACTGGGAGGTGGTGTAGTTTAGGAACTCCATATTTAGGAAACAAAGCCCTAGCCTCATATGTTAAGACATCAACACAGCGCCCAAGTGCTATGTATGCCCCGGGGATCAAGCCAGATGCTGATCGTGCTTTGCAAGATGTTTACACCAGGAACCTTCCTGGAAACTGCTTTGCACCTGCTGCTGCTGAGGACTAGGTCCTTGTGCCCTGAGTCTATTTACTGTTTCACAGACAGTTGCTCCTCCACACCCTGGCTGTGCCAAGGTATTTCAGAAACCTTGCGTTGTGATTGATGCATTGTGTCAACTTGAGGAATCCAGATGCTTGGCTAAGTGACTCAGCAGTTCTGCATCCTGGGGTAAAAAGGATGTGCCTTTACTGCTCTGGGATGTTGTTCATTGTGTCAACTTGAGAAGTCTGGAAGGTTAATTATGTGACTCGGCAGGGAGCCAGGGTCCTTACTTTGTATTCATCCTAAACCAGTGCAAGAGGAGGGCACTAAGCCAGCACACAATATAAGGGAGGAAAAGAAACTTGCTTTTCCCTCTCCCCTTTTGCTCTTGCTGCTTTTGCTGTCTTGTGCTGCCTTGAAGTGTTACCCTTGTGCCACCCCACCCTGCCTTGGACCCAGCTGATTATGGACTGAAACCTCCACAAACTGTTAGTTAAATAAACCTTTCCTTCCTTAATTCTGGGCATTGGGTATTTTGTCTCAGAAATGAGAAAAAGGTAACCAAGACACGTTGGCATTCTGAAAGCCTGCTATTTGTAAATACAGCCAGGACAGAACTGGAATAAACATAGGGACAACCACAAGACCCAGGTCATGAGATGAGTCTCACTTACCTCTGAAATGTCATTACATGGACTGTATGAAGACACGGACTGTATGAATATTAAATGCTGGACACCATATTTCTAACATGGATATAAAATAGCATAGGGAGGTTCTAAGGAGTCTGAACTAAATCTGTGCAGTATTTGCTTCCAGAAACATGTTTTCGGTAACACAATTCCTCCAGCAACCTGAAAGCTGTTCAGGTCAGAGACCTACAAGACAGAAGTTCCAGCTAAGGGTGAGAAAGCCCTCGATTGGCCAGTGAATGCCCAGTAACATTACTGTTCTCACAGCACTCTCAGAAAGATACCTTTTATCTATGTCCAAACAAAATAGCTATTAGCTCTTCTATCAGCTTTCCTGAGAATCAAGATGATTCAATGGATTAATTAGTTCAAGCCATACTGAATATGAAAAGTAAAAAAAAGAAAAAGGAACTTCTCTGAGGAAAAAAAAAGACAAAGGGTCACCTTAATATAGGTGGATGTGCTGATTACCCCAGTAGAGTTGGGGGGAGGGGCAAACCACAGAGCAACAAGGGGCGGGGATAGCAAAGCACCGGACCAAGAGGAAACCCTGTGTGCCAGTTCTCCTATGGGATCTGGTCCATCAGTCTCTATGAGAGCGCTTCCCAGGGAAGGTGCCCTGCCGGGCCTGCCCAACTATCAGTGAGAAGTAACTGTCTGGGTCCACCTGCAAATATCTGAGTCAGGGATTTGTTCAAGGCAGAGTTCACGAGGCCGGAGTCCAAATAGCTAGACTGAGAGAGAGATTTAAAAAAAGACCAGTGGTCAATGTTCCAGTTCCCAGGTTCCAGTGTTCCCAGTGTCCTAGTGTTCCGGCCCGATGAAACCTAAAGGATGTTACTGAAATGAAAACAAACAATCTCTGTTATAAGAAGGGATTTAACTCAAAATTTGACAGAGGCAGAGGAGATGGGAAATCATGCAACACACATTTAAAAATATAAAATTTATTTATATCCACGGCGAGATAGTTCACATTCTGTACATGGTTACGGTGCTATTATATTGCTACCAAATATTGCTAATGCTATTTCCAGTTGGGGAAGCTTCTTTCCCCTTTAAAAAATTTAAGGCTCAGTTTCCAAAAGGTGATTTATATCACTTCTTTTTCTGCTGAAGGGACTTGGAAAGTTTAAGAATAAACCAGGGAAGGCTGGAGGGTGAAGGGTGACTTTACACACTGCCCTCATTCATATTTAAGACAACCAATGGCATATTTTAAAGGATTCCTTCTATTTGAAAACATGTTTATATTTAGAAAAAACAACAAACCTGTAGACAGGAGGGAGTACTGAGCACACAAACACGAACAACTAAGCTCTTTGTCACCACTGCTGGCTGAAATGTGCTGTGAGTTCCCCACACATAAATACACACACGCCTGCACATGCACACCCACACACTCGTTTACCGCCCCTCATTTTCCCTTGGGGAAGCTTCCCAAATAGCATTTCTTCTCCAACACATTAATAAAAAATAATTTACATTTCATTTCCACCCTCAGATCAGCACATCACATCCCCTGAATCTGCTGTCAACCTTGCATCAGGCCATGGCCATGACGGTATCCTCACCCGGATGTGGATCCCACCCACAAGAGAGTGAAGGGTATGGGAAAGCAAATTAGGAAAACAGAGCTTGGATGGTTCAGAACCTCCTGTAACTCAGGGAACTCCCTTACAGTTCCTGGGCTAATGCTAGAACAACAAGAGGACCCAAAAGGGCACCTGCAGCTTCTGCCTCTGGCATCAAGAGGTAGAGACAATCATTCTACAGAATAGATTAATGATAAAAACAAAACACTACACTCAAAAGGCTGAGGCAGGAGGACCGCCACAAGTTCGAGGCCAGCCTGGGCTATAAAAATTCAAGGCCAGTCTGAACTACATAGTGAGACCCTGTCTCAAAACACCAAAACAAAGAAAACAAAGACAAACAAACAAAACCACAAAAACCAAATCCCCCTCAACCACTGTATTTCTAAGGGAAGCTGAGGGAAGCCAAGCTCTCTCCGGGGCACCATCAGTCCGAGTCCAAGTTGAGAGCACCATTTCCCACAATCATCTTGCTGTAATTCTTCTGCTGCTCCTCCTTAAAGGTGTCCTTCACTTTTGCTCTCTTCAGGCTACCGTCCCTGGGAACAGAAAAGTAAATCTATCAAAGATCCTCCCCACAAGGAAGTGGGAAAGGTCCCCGTTAACATATACTGCGGGGTGCTGCGGCCAATAAAGGGACAAAGGATGCTGGATTTGGCAGCGGGAAGACCTTCAGTCTCTGAGCTACCTCTCAGCAACCACAGGTTACTGGGGTAGATAAAGAACGGCATCTCCTCCGTTCAGGTGTCTTTTAGAGGTTAGGGTTGCTGCGTTCAACATTTGAATTTCAATAAGGAGCGTTAAAACCAGGACTGTTTCCCTGTATTTTTCTCAAAGGGAAAAAAATATATCGGCTTTTTATCTACCTGTGTCTTACTGGAAAACTGTATGAAAAATTTAAAATAAACACAAGAAATAGTAGTGTTATATCTGTGTGCACAAATTCCTTACCAATAAACAGGATAATTATTTCTCAAATATAACCCCGTATTTAACCAGAATTGTCTTTATCCAAAGCACTAAATGTTGAATATTTAAACTCTTCCATATTCCAAAACAGACTGAAGATAACACAGATTAAATCAGAAACAGCACTTGACTGGAGGTTAGTGCCTGAGAAGCAGCAAGCATCCAGAGCCTGTGGGTCTTGGGCCCCCTCCAGGGTGGTGTGGGCAGACCTGGCTGGGTCCTAAAGGTGCTCCGTGCCTCTCCTTCCTTAGCTACACGAAGAAAACACACCGAGGAGCTGACAGGAGCCTGGTCTACTGGGTCCCCTCTCCCTACTGTTCCAGTGTCTTAGATTTTAACGCCTAGGAAAGCATGGGCTGCAAATCTGCTTACTGTATGCTGTGATTGTTTAATTTTAACCTAGTGAGGCATGAATGTTCAACCAGTGCTTTCATATGGTGATGAGAGATTGCAGGCTAGTGAGTGAGCGCCAGGCCATGAGGACAGAGATTGACCTCCATCCAGTTTCGGAGTGGGCTTTCCCAGGTGAGCACTTTCATGCCTGTAACGGGGAATAGCTGGGTCAGATGAGATCTCTAGTTTCAGTTTTTTTTTTGGGGGGGTGTTGGTATCGGGAATTGACCTCAGGACTTTGTGCTTGCCAGGCAGGCTCTGTGCCGCTGAGCTACGTCCCCAGCCCTTGACCTCCATCCAGATACCCGGCTGAGACTAGTGCAAGGTCAGGACTGGAAGGACAAACCCAACACTCAGCATCCCCAAGCCCTCCATTTAAGAACAAACACAGTCCTCAGACTACACAGGGGCCAGTTGTGAGAGGTTTCCACCAAACAAGAAACACTCTTCTTAGGTTCCCAGAAGCCTCAAGAGAAGGCTCTTTCTCCAAGCGAGCTGTGTAGAACTATTCATAGCATTTACATCAATCTGAAATAGTGAGAACTAAAGAAGGGAAGCAGAGTACGAGATGTGATCCAAAAGTACAGTGAACATCTTTTAAAACATTTATTACTGTAAAAGACACTGCCATTAGTCCTCCTCAAAATACCACCCCCAGCCTGGTGTGGCGGTGCACACCTGTAATCCCTGCACTCAGGAGGCTGAGGCAGGAGGATCGTTGCAAGTTTGAGGCCAGTCTGGGCTACAAAGTGAGCTCAAGGCCAGCCTGCACTGCATAGCGAGACTCTGTCTCAAAAGACAACTCCCTACCCCTAACCCCTTTCAAACACTCATCATCCTTCTTGCCACTTCGTGAAGTGGCTAGAGTCCTCTTTCCTGAGTATCTTCAGCTGTGCTATCCTTGCAGCCTCAATGTCCTGAATCAATTCAAAACATTTCCCTTTTGTGGTTGTTTTGACTTTGGAAAAGAGCGAGGTCCGATGAATAAGGTGGACACGCTGCCGTGTTCTCACAAGCCCGCCTCCCCAGTGGGTGGCAGCCGGCAGCAGCACTCGCTGTAATTCTGATCATACCCCACAAAGACACTCAGGAAAGAGCACTGCCAGAGCTGCCCCAGACAGTGCAAGAATGAGGGGTAAGCGTGTTCGAATTAAGGGGGAGTATCCTGAGGAGACTAATAGTAGCAAGTCTTTTACTGTAATAAACTTTTTAAAATGTAAATATTCACTATACAGTTGATCACCCATGTTTAATATAAATAAAAGGGTGAAGTATTTTACTGATAGTCCCCCACTAAATGGAGAAGCATAAGCCTCCAGCTAGCCTTTCTTCTAGAGACTTTCACCCTAATCCTGAGGCCCTACTTGCTTGTCTGCTAATTTTAATGAATTTTTCATGTAAAGTGCTTCTGACATACCAAAAAAGGAAGTGGGGATTTTATTGAACTTATAGGACTTGAAATATAAGACTGTCTTGTGACACCCTGATAAAATAAGGTCTACATATGTGCAAGGGTTCCACTTGCCATTACAAAGTAGGCAGAGTTGACCCTCACTGCTACAGACTGAACATTTTTACTCCCCCACCCCCAATTCCTATGCTGGAGCTCTAAACCCCAGTCAATGGCCTTTGGAGATGAGCCCTTTGGAAAGGAAGCGGGGTTTGAAGGAGTCACAAGGGTGGGCCTCACCATGGGATTAGTGCCCTCAGAAGAAGAGACACTAGAGGACTTGCTTGCTCTCAAAGGAAAGGTCGTGTGAGCCAGGGGACAAGGGAGCCTTTCCAAGGAGAGCCCGCAGTAGCAACTGGCCGTGTGACATCCTAACACCAAACTTTCAGACTGTGAGAAAATCTCCGTTGCTTATGATGCCTAGTCTGTGGTATTTGTTACGGCATCCCAAGCTAATATATTCACCTATGTCCAATCTTCCTTAAACGAAAGAATGAAAGCCATAGTTATTTATAACTAAAACATTTTACTTGTTTCCCTTTAAGTTTCCTTTAATATAGCCAGAGCGAAATATGAACAAGTAGTCCCCTGTCACACCCCTAAATCCACTCTCTCTTTCTTCTTCAGTAGAAGAGAGCCCTAAACTTTAGCGAAGAACATGCCCACCCAAAACAAAGACTACACCCCCCAGTGTCCTTTGCGGTTGGCTGCTATTATGTGATTTCAGCTCTAGCCAATGGACACAACTGCACGTCTAGCATCCAGTGTGTGCTCCTGAGGAGATGCTTGTGTCCTTCTCATTAAATTCCTTCCTGCTGGCTACTTGCTGTATACACTGGGCAGAGTCAGAGCGGCCATCACGGACCATAACGTAAAGGCACACACTGAGGAGGAAGAGCAAAACAGCCGGGCTGTCACAGGGCCTGGATGCTTATGGGGAGAGATAAACAACTATCTTCCTTAAGTGTTATTTTGTGTAACCCACTATCACTTTCAGCTTAGCCTATAGATAACTAGCACAATAAATAACATTTAACAGTGACTTTTTTTTTAAACATAAAAAGAGAATAGTATTCCTGAACACTTTCTCACCAGGGCAGTTCAGTCAATCCTCCTTGCACAGCAATAGCAGACTTGACTCTATTTGCAAACTGTACAGCATCTTCTCCTTCCTGATTAAAAAAGAAATTAGAAAATTCTAATCAAGGATATAGAATTTTTTAAAAAACTTAAAATGCTTCATCATCATTGATATTTGTTTTGAAATATAAGATTCCAACTTTAGGCCAAATGCTTTCTGTTTTCAATGATAACAAATCTCGTTTATCCTATCAAGAAAATGCAGTCTGTGTTGCCTTTTTTATCATGTACATATCTTCACTATGCTCTTTATTAGTCTTGCTTGAACACAATATTCCATAGTATCTGTAGGGACAATAAACCAAGAGCTATGATGGAATAGTCTCTTTCAATATAAAATGCCCCGGGAGGAAGGGAAAAGAAAAGAAAAAGAAGAAAAAATGGAAACAAAGCTTTTGTAAATAGGGAGAGGAGGAAGGGTTGAAGGGAGGTTAGGGGAAGGAGATAAAAAAAAAATCAAGATATATCATGTGGGGCTGGGGATTTAGCTCAGCCGCACAGTGCCTGCCTGGCAAGCACAAGGTCGTGAGTTCAATTCCTGATACCGGAAAAAAACCAAATACAAAAAAAAAACAGATATGTACAGGTACAAATACCCTAGGATGAATGAGATCATTATGTGTACCTAAAATGTACCAGTAATCTTAACTAATTAAAAAAAATAAAAACAAACAAAAAATATATACAATGCCCTGCTTTGAAGAGCACTGGATACATTATTTGAAAAATAAATTATCTGTTGAGAAAGCGGAAGGGCATATGTGAAGTAGCTCTGCAGGGGCCCAAGTTTCCAGATCCAGGGTTCCAGCACAAAGCCCAGGTGAGATCTGAGGAATACCTACCTCTCTGGTCATGGGCGGCAGGTACCACACGTCACAGACGATGGCCCAGCTAGTCATCACACGAAGCAGGTAGCTCACCATGTTGTATTTACTACTGTTCCAAAAGGCATCACCGAACTGGGGGTTATACTGAGAAAAAGAAAAGAAAAATACACCCTAGTCAGGCACCAAGTGGGGGCTTCTTTCAGTCGGTGTTTTTGGGGCGGCAGGCCAAAGAGCTCTGGCAGACCCCAAAAGAAGACAAACGACGTCACTTCTCTTCTTTTTGATAGAACTGATCACAATGAGTAAATTGGGTCAGCTAACTCCTCTGACTAGAGACAACTGCTTTTCTAAATAGAGCCCCAGAGCATTGCAATACAAGGGTTATTTATGCAACTGGTAAATATCTGTCTCCACATATAACTGAAAGGCCAGTACTGGAAAGGAGGGACAGTATCTGTTTCGCCTATGACTACATTCTTACTACTTAATATAACCAACCCCTGGCATCCAGCCACCCAGTACATATCTACACACAGAGGGGGAGGGGAAGAGGGAAAAGAGGGGACAGAGAATGAGAAAGCAAGTGGGGCAAAGCCTACAGAACTAGTAGAGCATCTGAGTAGAGCATGCAAGTGTCCCTCATTCCTGCAGATTTGCAATTTGTAATTACATCAAAAATACCATCCCCAATCCAATGCCTTTTAAACATGTTTCACCTTAATGGCGACCGGATGTATAGTTCCTCCAATCTCAAAGCTTCCCTTCTTAAACATCATGACAGAAGTATTATTGATGCAGGTCCCTAAAAGCGAGCAGGAGTGCGGGAGTAAGTCATTTTTTTTTTTTCAATTTAGAAAGAAATAACTTTTATGCAAAATACAAAAATTGCAGGCTTTTTACTACCATTTCACAAATTAACCTTTGCTGAAGGAGTCACACAATAATTCTAAGCAAGTTTAATAACAACCTATACTATTAAACACTCTATGGGAACAACTTTGTCACAACAGATGACAATTCCAATATATTTAAAACACAACCAAAAAAACTCACAATTGCCAGGTGTGGCGGAGCACACCTGTAATCCTAGCACTTGGGAAGCTGAGGCAGGATTACTGCCTCAGCAATTGGGAGGCTGAAGCAGGAGGACTGCTGTGAGTTTGAAGCCAGGCTAGGCTACAAAGTGAGTTTAAGGCCAGCCTGAACTGCAGAGTGAGACCCTGTCTCAAAAAGACCAAATAAAAAATAAAAAGAAAGAGATCCGTACTCTTTCAATTGCTCTACTGAACAAGTTTTGTTCCGTATGAGTTCAAGGCCAGCCTGATCTGCATACTGCATAGTGAGATCCTGTCTCAAAAAGCAACAACAGCAAAAATAAAATACAACCTTTAAAAAAATCAGACAGAACTTTTCTTAGTTCATTATTCAGAAATGACTTAAAAACGCACCATGACTTTCATCAAATCTCAAGAGAAAACAGGAAATGAATGATCAGCGAAGGTTCCTTTTCTCTGTCCCATTCCTATAGAACAAGAGTGACCTGGACCAAGAAGGCCAGCCGTATAGCCATTCCACTCCATTTACTTCCCGTGATTTGTAGCATGCTCTATAGTATGGTGGGCCACAGTCTCCATTCTTACCTTCAGGGAAGATTAATATGGGTAATTTTTTCTTATCAGCAACATGCTCTTTTAGTCTGTGAAGAAAAATGCATCAAAATTTTATCTTTCAAGAGACAGACTGGGGTCCTTTCTCATATTCCTTATGCTCAAAAGTACACATATAACTGCAAAGCAATAGGGTGAGAAGCAGTAAGAGGTAAGTGAGGGAAATAAGCTCAAATTGTCTTTCTTTAAAAGTAAAGAGCTGGGTGTGGTGGCTCACACCTGTAATCCCAGCAAATGGGAGCTGAAGCAGGAGGACTGCTGTGAGTTTGAGGCCTGGCTAGGCTACAAAGTGAGTTTAAGGCCAGCCTGAACTGCAGAGTGATACCCTGTCTCAAAAAGACCAAATAAAAAATAAAAGGAAAGAGATCTGTACTCTCTCAATTGCTCTACTCTAATTTCAAAGTGAAGTTTTTGCAGTTTCTTTTGTCAATAACTTCCAATTTCATTGCACTATGCTCAGCTAATACGCATAGGATAATTTCAATTCCTTTGTATTTACTTAAGCATGCTCTATGTGCTACATGGTCTGTTTTAGAGAACATCCCCCGTATGCAGCTGAAAAGAATGTGTATTCTGATGTTGTTGGGTGGTACACTCTATAAAGGTCTACTAAGTCTATCTGCTCACAAGTTTTGTTCAGTTCTGCTATTTCTTTGCTGATTTTTTATCTAGTTGACCTATGTCTTTGGTCAATGGGGTATTAAAGTCCCCCATTATGATGGTTATTGCTTATTTGATTTTTCATGTCTATTAAAATTTGTCTTATATAGTTGGGTGCTTCTGTATTTGGTACATATATATTTATGATTGTTATCTCTTCCTCTTGCAGTTTTCCCCTAACTAGTGTGTAGTGACCTTCTTTCTCTTTTGATTATTCTTGGTTTGAAGTTTACAATGTCTGCAAACAGAATAGCTACCCTTGCTTTTTTCTGGGTTCCTATCACATGGAGTATTGTTTTCCACCCTTTGACTTCCAGTCTGTAAATTTTCTTCTGAGTTAAATGTGTTTCTTGTATACAGTATATTGTTGGATTTTGTTTCTTGATCCACTCTACCAGTATCTGGTAATCTGAACAACTACTTTGAAGATAATAATATGTAATATAACAACCATTGTTGATTTTCTATCATCTTGTTTTGAAATTCTATATCATTTTTAATATTTATTTTTATTCTCTTCAAGCTAAAAAAAAAAGTGAGTGACTTTCAGTATCTTCAGCTTACTCTTAAAAAGCATCCTGGGCTCGGGATGTAGCTCAGCAGCACAAGCGCCTGCCTGGCAAGCGCAAGGTTCTGAGTTTGATTCCTGGTACCAAAAAAAAAAAAACAACAAAAAGCATCCCAGCCAGCCATGTAACCTGAGCTCCAGGCCACCACACATGAGCTTTGTGTGCCTGGCCATGTGTTTGTACAGTATACTTCCTTGTTGGAGACCACTACAAAGTGGCTCTGGGCAGGGTTTAATATTAACCAATTGGCTTTCCATGTTCACTTGTGAGTTATCCAAAGCTTAGGCCCTTGTCTGGGGATGGGCAGTGGACTCATAGTAAGTAAACCTCTGTGAGTCACTGGTCACCACTGAGGCCTGTATTGGCCTGTGAAGCTGTGACGCCTCAAAGGACAAGATAAGGCCACAGCTGAGGACGTTTGGCTCCAACCCCAATTAACTACAAGGAGACTGCAGCTGCAGGCTTCACACTCCTATAATAAATACCAACCTAAAGATAAGGCAGTTTGCCTGATTGACATAATTTACTGCTTGGGAAAATTCTCCCAAGGTCCTGCTCAGATTCCTGCATTTTCTTGAGTATCCCCCTTCTTTGTTTGAAAACCTAATAAATACGGGCTGCCCAGAGAAGTCTTTGACTTAACCCAGAGAATCTCAAAGTCTGTAAGACAGTGAGACCCTCCTGGAGCCCTGAAATCATTTCAATTGTCTCATTTATTTAAGCCTTCACAGTCCACTCGCTTGGGAGATTGCAGGCCTAATCAGCCCGCAATAACTAAGGGTTATTAACCCGATACCTCCACATCTGAGGAATGGACCAAGGAATGCTGCACCTGTTTGCATTGTCACCGAGCAGTAGACTCTTTAAGTGAGTCAGGATGAACTTCCCAGGAAACACATACCACAGAGCTTAGGAAGAAACCTCAGGGCCAATGAGATAGAAGATAGGGCATAGCTTAGACTGCCTGGGAAGAGGCGTGGCGGGATTCCAGGAGCTCCACAGCACAGCTCTCAGGAGCACTCTGAAGAACTTCTCCAGGTTCCTGAGGCGGACACCGGGAGGAACCTGCTATCTTGACTTTTCACAGTAGCCCATCCTCTGTCTTCCAGACCAGGATATACTTTTATTCTTGCTTTTCTCTTTTCCTCTCTTGTTTGGCCTAAATTTGCTCTGCAGAGTCAGTTTCTCCCTCACTCCCACTTTTCAAATAAACTTTTGGCAACATTTTAGGCTTATCTCATTTAATTCTTTGTTCGCAGTGAGAAGGACCTGGAATACGTTTTAGTATTGGTGAGCCATTTCTAAAGGAAGCTATCTGGTACTTGCTTTGGCGGCACACACACCAGAAGAGGCTACCTCATAACTCTAGGGCCTGTGCTCCTCACAGCTACAGCTGCAGCTCACTGCTCAGTAGAAGCTGGTAAAGTAAGAGATGGCAGCTGCCAGAGGACCCCACTGCTATGTAATCTCAGGTGAGGGAACAGACTTTCCAACCCGAAGCAGATTTTCACAAGTACTTTTCTGGGAGCTAAGGCAGGAGGATCTCAACTTTGCACCCAACCTGGGCAACTTAGCAACTTAGTGAGACTCTGTTTCAAAATAAAAAAGGACTGGGAGGGCCGGGGGTGTAGCTCAGCAGCACAAGCGCCTGCCTGGCAAGTGCAAGGTTCTGAGTTGGAGCCCTGGTACCAAAAAAAAAAAAAAAAAAAATGGAGAATGCAGCTCAGTGCAAAGGCCCTAGGTTCCATTCCCAGTAATGAAAAAAGAAAAAAAGTGCCTGGGCCATCATGCATTTATAGAAGCAATGACCAGAGTACCTCCAGTTAAAGGCCTCAAACAAAAAGCTATTTCTCAGCAGAAGTTCCCATAACTCGCCTCTTCCCAAGCCCTGATGTTCCTCTTCTGCCCTTCCGTAGAGATCCGCTGTAGCATGGGTGTGTGTTCCCCACAGGCCAGTGACAGAGGGCTGTTGCTAGCTTACTGCACTCCTGGGAGGCAGTGGAACTTCAGGAGGCGAGGCCAACTGGATGGAAGTTAGGCCACTGGAGGCTGCTCTCGAGGGTCTTTGAAGCCCTGGGTCCCCTGCTTTCCTGCTTCCCAGGCCCTGTGAGGTGAACATCCTCCCCTGCCCTGGGCCAAGAAGCCCTCTGAACTGCACTAGATATGGACTGAAACTTCTGAAACCAGGAACCAGAGAGAAAGACCCTTCCCTTAGGAAGCTGACTGTCTCCAGTATTTCGGCACAGTGACAGAAAGCTGACTGACACAAGCTCATGAGTTCTGACTGTAGCTGGACTTCAGCGACAGTGGATATGCAGCTGAACTTAATCAAGCATCTCTCTATTCAGCAAAGAGTTATCAATTATTCAGCCTCCCACATGACAACTTCCAAAGTCCCCTGCCTGGACTATACCTAAGCCACAGCACTGTAGACCTGTGAGCCTTCTAACCTCTTCATGTGTCCCACTATGAACACAGAACTCTTTAAAATCTTGCTAAGTGATTCATCAGAAAAATACTCAACTCTAACTAGAGCTCTGTATGTTCTAGTTTTGGTGTGTACCAGGGCCTGCCCACTCTTGTCACAGCCCAAATTTATCAGCTTCTGCACTAGCTCAGTGAATACCTGCTAGTTTCAGTCTCCTACCTCTTTGTAACCAGGTGTCGATCCTTCATTTCTGAGCGCTCAAACCAGACATGAGGACATGCCTTGACCATGGCTCTCTGAATAACCCCCATCAATCCACCATGAACCTGGCCAACCTAGAAGAACCAGGAGAAAAAGAGCAAAATGTAAAGGAACAGTGACCCAGAAAAAGCTTTTTTAAAAAGTAACAGTTAATCCCTATACCCAACTGGAGATAAGATTGGCTGCCCTTATAAGCACTTAAATCCTTGGTCTGACCAAAGGACTTGAAATGTAAACAAAATGTATTCTTTAGTAGCACTGCTGAACTTTAGCTTCCATAGCTACACTAACTAGTCTCTAACTGTAAAATCTAGAAGCACTTCAACTTAGTCAAGATTAGAGAAATGCAAATTAAAACTACACTGAAATGCCATTTCAAACCCATCACATTCACAGCTATTTATCAGCTTGACAGCACATCCAGTTTCAAGGCTGTGGGCTGGAAGCAAAGGAAAGAGGACTATAATATCAGTAGAAGGAAATTGGCAACATTTATCAGGATTACATATGTATCTGTCCTTTATTTCAATAATTTTCCTTCTAGGAATTTACCCTGAAGATATACCTTCAACAAAATGAAAATATATATCCACAAGATTATTAACCATTGTTTCAGTTATCATTGTAAAATACTGGAAACTATGCAAATATACAAATACTGGAAAGTGGCTAAATAAACAAGGTACATACACTATAGTAGAATGCTATCGGCAAGATTTATTTCTAGGCCGAGCGTAGTGGCACATGCCTGTAGTCCCAGCACTCAGGAGGCTGAGGCAGGAGGATTGTTGCAAGTTTGAGACCAGCCTGGGCTACAAAGTGAGCTCAAGGCCAGCCTGAACTGCACAGTGAGACCCTGTCTCAAAAAAACAAAACAAAACAAAAAAACAAAAACATTTCTTTCTTTCTTTTTTTTGTTTGTTTTTCTTCGGGTACCAGGAATCGAACTCATGACCTTGCATTTGCCACGCAGGCGCTTTTGCCACTGAGGTAAATCCCCAGCCCCTAGATTTATTTCTATTACTGTTAAGGAGTGACTTGCATGATAGGGTAAGTGAAAAAGGCCAAAGAACACATAAGGATGTTACCTTGTAGGTAACCTAAAGGGAAAGTAACATAATGTGCATTTGCTTATTTCTACAAAAAGAAATATAGAAGGGATAATCCAAACTGCTGAAGTTGAGAACCTACAAGAAAGAAAAGGAACAGGGTAGACTGGACAGAGCAGTGATGTTTCCAGAGGAGTAATGTATATCTTTTTTGATATGGAAGCACATGCCTACATATTCAAAAATTAAAATTAAAACCACAAGGATGGCAATAAATTAAAAGTGAGCTGAAGTGAATACAACTGTATCTCAAATGAATAAAAAAACAAGAAATTTACAAACACTGTGTCCAGCCACACCATCTTGGATAGGACTGCAAAAACTGCAAAACACCCTGAACCCAAGGGTTTTCTGTCTGTTTGTTTGCAGTACTGAAAACTGAACCTTGGGCTTTGCACTAAGCTACATCCCATCTATTTTTTATTTTTCATTTTAAGACAGAATCTAAATTGCCCAGATGGGGATTAACTTTAATAATCCTCCTGCCTTAGCTTCCCAAAGTGCTGGGATTATAGGTGGGCACTACCTCGTCTGATTTATATTTGGTTTTTAAATATTAAACAGGTGAAGCAATTCTAAAACAATTTAGGCTTTTCATTGAGAAAAAAGGGAAGATACAAATATTGGTTCAGAAAAATCCAAGAAAGAACCCTACTAACTGGAAACATTGATACAATTCAGATCTCCAATATAAATATTATAAATATTAAAATAAGTGTACCAAAAATACAAATATTTCACACACAGTTTCATGTAGAGACACAAGGAACCAGCACTAGAATAAGCCATAAAGAAATGAGGTAACACATTACCAACAGATAAGCCTGGAAAAATGGGGTGTGGATGTCCCATGGCATACTCTCCTCACTACAGATAGAAAACACTTCTAAATTTTAAAAATAAAGGTCTTCGAGAGAAAAAAAATACTTCAGTCACTGAGTGGGGTCATGGCTATGTGAATTACCTTGACTTAGCCATTCCACAATGTACATACGTCAACCACATATCCTGTTGTACATAAATACATGTAATTTTTAATTTCTCAATTAAAAATAAATTAATTTTTTAAAAAAGAAAAGTCACTGAGGCAATCAGGAATGCTTTTCACGTATAGTTCCTGTTTCCCTCCCACTTCCGCTCCACAATCGGGCCACTTCCGGTTGGTTTAGGCTCCTTCAAGCAAGTCCTGGAGGACCTGCTGTTACTACGCTCTTCTGGCCCTTGGCTAATGACATACAATAGTCGGTCATAAGGGACCACAACAACGGCAAGCAGTAGCCCTCGTCACAAACGCGGGCCCTCGTCGCAAAGGGGCTACACTCAGCTCTGCCCATGAGAACACACACACAGGAAGCCTCAGCAAAGCAACATCTCGTTCACAAGGGGCTGTTGGGATGGCCCCGAAGCCACCTGTGGGAAACTTCGTTCCCAGGCAACCGCTGGCGGGTGCTGTGGTCCCGTGGGCGCCGCCCCAGGAACAGATGAACCCGTTAGGAAAGGGCTCTCAGAGCGGGCTCATGCTGACAGCCGAGGCCCCTCCATCTGGCTACACAGCAAGGAAGCCTTGGTCGATGCTGGGCACTGGGCGCCCCCCTTCTGGGACTATGCACCCAAGTGCCAGCTGGTGTTCTCTCAGGGGGGCAGACCCCAGGCCTGAAAGGTCAGCTTCTGCCCTCAAAAAGAGCAGGGGATTACTGAGGGCATCAACCTGCCTTTGCCAGGCTTCAGGGGACCCACAAACACTGAAATTATACCCCAAACCATGCCTGTATGATGCATATACAAGTGGTTTTATTTTAAATTACATCCCTGTCAGCTGATTCCTAAGCTTAAAAAGGAGTAAGCGACACCAGGTCCTACGATTATTTTCACAGAGATGACTAAAGCTTCTTAGACTCAGAAAGTGCTTCATTATTTAGAGGAATTTAATACTGCATTAAAGGGTAGCTGTCCAAGCATAATATAACCTAATTTATATTTTAGATAGATGAAACAAAGGACAATAAGGAATTTCATAGAGGCCTTCAAAATGCTATCATTAGCTAAAGATGGTGACACACACCTCTAATTATAGCACTATGGGAAGCTGAGACAGGAGGTTCACATCCTGGCGCAATGTAAAAAATAAAAAGGGTTAGGGGATACAGCTCAGTGCCAAGGTCCTGGGTGCAATCTCCATTTTCCAAAAATAATGTTTAAGCCCCTCACTGACCCATATAACCACAGACAGGAAAAATACTAGCATGTGTACCAGCACTTCCTACTTGCCTGCTACAATTAACCACCAAGGGCCCCTTCTCAGGAAGGCACCAGACCACAGCTGGGTGTGGTCAAACATGCCTATAAACCCAGCACTTGGGAGGCTGAGGCAGGAGGTTCACCATGAGTTCAAGGCCAGCCTGACTACATGGTGAGACCCTGTCTCAAAAACGGAAGGAAGGAAGGAAGG